GGCACACAGAATGCTGTTACCTACCCACCAAAGGTGGTTCTTATTTTTGTACTTGCATTTTTACATGTTTTCAAACTGTTAGGTTTGGGGCATGTAAAAAGCTGGGACAATTAAGGGGAGCTCACTCCGTTACGCGGTGCTAGGTATTCGAACCTCCGAACTGCCGACCTTTCTGATCCACAAGCTCAGCATCTTAGTCACTGAGACACCGCATCCTTAGCATTAATAGACCCTAGCTAATCTGTGAGGTATTATGTTCTGTGCTGATTGGAGAATGCTGGTACGTGAAGTCCACACAGCTTAACATTGCCATGGTTGAGATACATTGTTCTAGAGATTTTAGTGTAGTGGTTAAGACATCAGGATAGAAACCAGATCACGAGTTCTAATCCCACTTTAGGTTAAAAGCCAGCTAGGTTAACTTGGGGGAGTCACTTTCTTTCATCCCTAAGAAGGAGGCAATAGCCAACCACTTCCAAAAATCCTGCCAAGAAAACTGGAAGGACTTGTCTGGGCAGTCCCCAAGATCAGGCACAATTGAAAGAGGGGAAAAATAGATTCTAACCCTAGATGAATTTAGGGGGCACAGCATTGTGACTCATCGTCCATTGCAAAAAATACCCCGTATGTGTAAAGATACAGATGTTTTTCTAGCATTCAAAGGATCCAGGAAAAAGAGGAATAGGGATTCGGAGAAGTGGGAGAACAATTTCAGATAAGCTGTCAGAGTAGACAGTATTTGTCAGTTGTTGACATTCTGACAGAGACACAGATCATTGCAAACCTTCTTTGTAAATGTCGAGACATTCACAATAACAGATGCATAGCCATTGCTATAACACTACTTTTTAAAATTAAACAAAAATATATCTGGATTAAAACAATACTCTTCCAGATGTATTTCCAAATTTAGAGTTCCTTAATATTTTAAGGAAAACTATATCCTAAATATCTGCTCTGATTTATTTCTCTCCAGATTTACCAGTATGGACTTCTACGAAGTGTATTCTAATCTTAGTGTTTACACCGTGGTGAATAATTTTGATGAGATTGGACCGGTATTTAATTTTTCAGTTAAGGTCAGTGAACATTTCCAAGTATCTTTTAAATATATAAAGACAATCATCTGTTCACAAGTCATGGTAAACTAAAACACGCCTTGCTTTCAGTTTAGCGTGGTGATGAAACTTACCTCTAGTGGTTTAGAGATAAAAATCATATGAAATTAGCTACCACAGGAAGCTTTGGTTCTCCAAACCGCTTTGCTTCTAGATAGGGTGCCCCACAATCTAAACAACTCAAAGTGTGCATCTATTTCATGATTGTAAATGTGCCAGCCTGTCTTTCTTTCTGGCATTAATTAAGAGAAAATGATAGTTACAATGTAGGCTATTTACTATTGGAATTAAGCCCGGTATTCTTAATCCCTCTCTTGCTTTCCAGGTCACAAGAGGAAGTAATCCAATCAATGCGGCAACTTTAAAAATTCATATCCCTAATCAAACTAAGGAGAATAACCCTTTGATGTATGTGACGGCTGTGCACACCAGTCAGGTGAAACAATGGTCTATTTTAAATATAAGACAATAACGAAGATGATACAAAGCTCAATGTCTATGGAAGTCATAATTGTCCCAAAGGTGCTTTTTCAAGAGGCAACTGGACTTTCTTGTTTTCTTTGAAGACGTTTCGCTTCTTATCCAAGAACCTTCTTTAGCTCTGACTGGATGGTGGGGAAGTTTCTAATTCGCCCCACCCGAGTGTTGAGTGTTGAATGAA